GTCTTACCCGTCATCGAAACTCATTGCAGCATGGCTATGGCTCTGTCTTAGGTTGCCGAGGTTCCACATGATTATATTAACTCTTAATGTAGTGTTTGTCGATGTATCTCAAGTGTGTTATGGAGGTAATGTAGTTTTTAATACAAAAGGAATCACAATGAGTAGAAGATTTGGAGTGAGCAAGTGTCATTGCATTTAACACAGGGGAAATCAAGTCTTTACTCAGGAGTAATAGAAAGTTCTGGTGGCAGAGGACTCCCATGAGGTGGATTGGCACAATGGCAGCATCAATGGACTCAGGGTTTACATGGATTGTGAGGATGGGGCAGAACCAGGTGTGTTTCATTGCGTTGTGCCATGAGGTTGCTATGAGTTCGAAATTACTTGACAGCACCTAACAACAACAACAGTAGTCATATTATAAATATGCAAAATTGAAAAATACACTTGAGGTCCATGATTCTCAAAAGACTGAAAATTGATATAGCAATAACATTGTCTTTTAATTTTTAATATGTTGTTAACCTCATTTTAATTAGTCAATCTTTATATTCACCAGAGTTGAAAATATGTCCATGAGACTGGAAGAAGTCAATGAAAGAGAAAATTGTATGAAATCTTCTCTACAGACTGTTGACCTACGACTTTCTCAACTAGAAGAATTTTCCAGGAGAATGATGACTGCTCTTGAAAATCTTGCAGGAATTGACAAATCTGACCTGATACAGACAAGGTCTCGAGGTTCTTCTGAATGCGATGCAACTCATCTTCTAAGGCAAAGCAGCATTAACAGCACTGATGGCTGTAGCATGCACAGATACCATTCTAATGGAGAAGAGTTATGTGAGGCTGCTTCTCTCTCCATGGTACCAGAGACAGGATTAAGGAAAAAAGTCTGCTCTTTCCCTATGAAGCATGAGAGGGATGCAAAATCGCATCTGGTGTCCGAGCCTCAGAGCAGCCTTCACCTTTTATCTAACACAAGCCCAACAGAAACATCAGACTATAGTGGACTTATCTCAGCCAACTTAAAGAACTCATCAGAGCCAAAATTAGGTCCAGATATTGGGATTTCACTCAAAGATGACAGAAGGCAGGCAGACTCTAAAAGAGAAGAAACTATTTACACACATTTAAATCAAGCAGATGTTAGGTATGGACAGAACAAATCAGATTTTCAAAACACTCACCTAACAGTGGAAGTGACAAAGGTAGAAGGTACTGTTCCCTATCCCTTAGAAGAAACAAAAATTGCCCGTTATTACCCTGATGAAACTTTCAACACTTTTAAGACAATGAAATCCAGAAGCTTTGCATATTCTTATGGAAGAAAGCTGGTCTGTGGGGTTAACAACTGGAGGGCAGGACACAGCTCAATATTAGACCAAGCAGGCCCCTCTACAGTACAACACTGGACGGCAAAATGGAAATGCCAAGTTCAAAAGATAACACGTTCTCATAGTACACCTTCCATTGTGTCAGAAGTTGTAGGGCAAACCAATCAGAAAAAGCAATGTGTAGACAATGAAGATGAAAATTATGTTTCTGGAAGAGCTTCTCAGATCTCTAGTTTATCCCTAGCTGTTACTGAGAAAACTAAAAGGGAAAACTTACGGTCTGTAAAATCAGACCTACCTTTTGGATACCCATCTATAAAGTCAAAAAGTTTGCACGGCCATTCTAGGATTGCTAAATCCATTCAGGGTAAATTAGACAGATCCAGACGTGCTAGCACTACAAGTAACTTAGTAGTTGTGTCTGAAATTACAAAACAAGGACAAAAGGTTAAGCAGGAGAAAATGTCCACAGAAACGGGATGCTAATGTGCTTTGTTTCTTAAGAGTTTTAAATCAAAACTACTAGTATGTTCATTTTGGCCATTTAAACAGCAGAATCTCTGAAAACATTTTCATTAAAAATTTTTGGTAATTTGGACATTAATTTAAAATGTAATGCACTAAACATAAAGTAATGTTTTGTTAGTAAACTTAGTATTTTAGTTGTAACAGGACCAAATGAAAGTGACAATACTCCAGTTGATAACAATCAATACATTGTTGTTGTTGTTGTTGTTAAGTGCTATCCAGTCAATTCCAACTCATAGAGACCCTGTGTAAGGTTTCCAAGGAGTGGGTGGTAGATTTAAATCACCGACTTTTCAGGTAACAGCCCAGTGTTTATTTGACAGTGCTATACCAGAACTCCAAATCAATACATAGATTCTTTAATACCTTTGCTTATAAGGGTCTAAGAAATACAAAGTAGCCTAAGAAATGCCATTGGGTGCCACTACCAATAGCTCACTTAACAAGGAAGCATAAGCAACTATGCACGAAAGAGAAACAACAGAAAAAACAAACATGGAGGAAAAAGAAGGGAGAAGGAGGAAAAAGAAAAGTCTTTGATTTAAAAGTAAATGTCATAAGCATTATATTTCTTAGATCTCATTCAAAGGAGCAGTAGTTTAGTTTGCCTACCCCACGTTTAGATACTAAAATTTATTAACCTTCTATTAATAACTCATTATTTATTCTTTGGATATTACATGATGAAAAAAAGTACACAGTGGTACCAAACACCACACCATAGTAATTTAGTGTGATCAAGAGTTTTGCTAACGTATAAAAATAAAGTACCCAATATGTATTTTCCTATGCCATTTATTTCTTGACAGTAATCCATTATACCTCCACATATGCAATTGCTTATGCAAAGTTGTAGCTAAACCTTAGAGGATACACGTTCAGTGTGGGGATTGTCGAGAATCACTGAGCTAGCAGTGCGCACGGAAGGCTCTGCAGTGTGTGTTGAGGGGTCTGCAGCATGCAGATTGCTGGGTGCAGAATTGAAGGGAGAGGGGTACACCAGTAAGAGACTACACCTCGAGTCTCTCCCAATCCGGGTCTGGGCAGTCCTCAGCTGGTTCTCACTAGGAAAAACAGACGAATGTACTTGAGGGGAGGAAAAAAAGAAAAGAAAAACTGGTATTAGATTACAGGGGTACAGCGGGAACATCCTGAAATATTTCAGGTAGCTTTGAAGGCAAGAGTCCATGAGGTGGCGCTAGAAAATTACTCCCGTTTTATTGTCATATTTTTTTCCTTTGTGTGTGTATGTGTGTGACTTAATTTTTAATCTTATTCTTTGGGACTCCTTCTATATTGTGGGAGCTCTTTCTCTTCTTGCCTCACCCAAAAAGAGACAGCAACTTCAGTCATACAGTCAAGCTGCAATTGCACCCTCTAAAAGCCTACCAACTGGATAAGAGTCAATACTAGCTGCTATACACCATAGCAGCACCTACAAACAACACCTGATAAAAACACTCTGCAATGAGCTGCGTGAGCAGTGAGCAGAAAAACCCATCTCCTGATCACACTTACCAGTTGGAGAGTACTCGAGAATGCACCAACATATAGTCATCTAATTAAGACAAATACAAAAACACCACAATGCCTAAAAAGCAGCAGAAATTTTCTACTCACATGCAGAAAGAAGATACATAATTCAAACAAACGACCAAGAGGAAAAGCGAGACGTTACTTTGCAAAGTGAAAGGCTTTGGAATTACCTCAAAAAGAACTCAGAAGAATGATATTGAAGTGCATCCAAATGTTCCACAGAAAGGTCAAGAAAAATAAGGAAGATGTCAGAAAAATGCTACAGGAACAAACAAAATAGAGAAAGCATTGCAGACAGTATAAAACCTGCAAATAGAGGTCCATATTAAGTATGATCAATATTAAAATATCAGAAATGGACAATACATTGAAAGGGCAAAGGAGAAGAAATGAAAGTATGGGAGCCAGAATTACTGAGCTTGAAGACTAATCTCTCAATGCAGCTATAATAGAAGAACAAGCAAAAAAAAAAAAAGAAGGGAAAAAATCTGGAGAAAGCCTAAGTCATGCAGGACAACCTCCTGGAGAAATAAACTATGGATGATTGGAATTCCAAAACAGGAAGAAACCACAGAATTTCTGGAATAAAATTTCCCTAACACCATGAAAAATGAGAAGATAAGCATTCAAGAAGCTGAATGAACCTCTGGCATAATAGACCCCAAAAGAAAATCACCAAGACATATCATAATCAAACTCTCTAAAATAAAAAGACAAGAAAACAATCCTGAAACCAGCTAGGAGAAAAAGAAACATTACATACAAAGGAAAACCCATAAGATTAAGCTTTGATTTATCAGCAGAAAGCATGAGACAAGAAGGCAATGGGGAGACATACAAAACTCTGAAAGAAAAAAAATCTGTCAACTAAGAATCATATACACAGCAAAGCTGTCAATCAAATATGATGGCAAAATCAGAGCTTTTCAGGATAAACAGAAATTGAGGGATTCTGTAAAAACCAAGCCAACACTTCAAAACATACTAAAGGGAGTTCTTTGGCATGAGAACCAATAAGAGCAAGCAAAAACCAGAGATTGACATATGTGGCAACACCACCTGACATATGTGGCAAGCACTCAGTCCAGTATGGAAGAGTCCAGAGCAGAAAAAACTACGAAAATGGAATTAGGGTATCTGGGAGATCAGTGTATGATTCGTACTAGAGAGTGTAAAAAGGAGAAAGAATAGTAACAGAGATCCAGGTGGTGAGGAGGTCAGATGGATTTCTGTATAAAACAGACTGTTGTAAAATGAGGAAAAAATGAATAAAGTACAGGGTAACCTGAAAGAAAATTAATGTATCTCCACATCAAATCAAGAAAATGAAAATACAAGACATTTTGGAAATATTAAAACTATGAAGAAATTGACAAGAAAAAGCACACACAAAAAATACTGACTCAGTATAGGAAAGGTGAAGAACAAAGCATAATGACAACAATTAACATGCCTATCGGTAAGTCCTGGTGTGACGCTGTGGGTTAATGCGCCAGACTGCAAAAACATTTGAACTGCAAGTTCAGTGATTCAAGCTCACCAGCTGCTCCTCGGAAACCCTATACAGTGTCGCTATGGGTCAGAATTGACTCGACGGCACTTCACAACAACAACATTGATAATTACATTAAATGTCAATGGATTCAATGCATCAATAAAGCGCAGTAAAATGGATAAGAAAACAGGACCCTCCAATAAGCTGACTACAATTGACACACCTTAAATATAGACCAAAAAATAGACTAAGAATGAAGGAACATAAAAACATATATCAAGCTAACTGCAATAAAAAATGAGCAGGAGTGACAATATTAATCTCTGACAAAATTAACCAGCATAAGAGACTAAGAAGGGCATTATCTCATGAATAAAGGGTCAATTGAAAAAGGTGACATAACCACAATAAATATCTACGCTCCCATGAAAAGAACCACATCTTTCTGGTATTCTCTGCTTTCAGCCAAGATCCATCTATGAGCCCCAACACACAGAAATAAAACCCTAAAAGAATTGAAGAAATAGACACTCTACAATAATAGTGGGAGATTTTAATAGACCATTTTTGAAACAAGACAGAAGAACCAGAAATAAACAGAGGAACTAAGCAACACAATCAACCAACTTGACCTCATACATGCGTACAGAGCACTCAACACAACAACAGCACAATATACATTCTTTCCAGTGCACATGGAATAGACAAAGTGTTAGGCCACAAAAGAAGTCCCAATAAATTTTAAAACCTCAAAAAACTACAAAGCATCCTCTCAGATCATAATGCTATAAAATTAGAAATTGACAATAGGAAGCTCAAAGATATAAAATCAAATACATGGAAACTGAATCAAACCCTACTTGAGAACTACTGGGGAGTAGAAAAAATAAAAAGTGAAATTTAAAAACTCCTAGTAACAAAAGAGAATGAAAACAAAACATGCCAGAACCTTTGGGACACAGCAAAAGCAGAGCTAGAGAGCAATTTACAGCAATTAATGCACAGAATACCCATTTGACCTAGCTTCAATAGCTTGATGATTAGAATTCCACTTGTAGTCGTTGGGTGCCATCGAGTCGGTACCGACCCATAGTGACCCTGTGAATAACAGAATGAAACACTGCCCGATCCTAGGTCAACCTCACAATTGTTGCCGTGTTTGAGCCCATTGATGCTGCCACTTTGCCAGTCCATCTCATTGGGGGTCTTTTTCTCTGACCCTCCACCTTACTAAACATGATATCCTTCTCCAGCGACTGCTCCCACTTGACAATATGTCCAAAGTATGAGAGACAAAGTTTGGTCATCCTGGCCTCCAAAGAGCACTCTGGCTGTACTTCTTCCAAC